TATGACAAATGTATTTGTGGCACCACCTCGACTATACACTATGACAGACAGCAACAAGGAAAAACACATCATAAATTTATTTCCAACAATGATTACGAAAAGCAGAAGAAAACACATAAATTACATCCCATTACCATACACTCGAATAATCAATAACTCCAAGAAAAATAGGCAAACGCTTGGTTTCCAACAGCAATATATCACAAATTGAATCAGAGTCAACCAAAAAACGAAGGAGAAAGTGCTGGGAAACAAAGCGTTCGCAAAGATCCTACTTCAACAATGACCACTTGAACTGCTCCTTTGCTGAACTCATAAGTGAGATGCCGACTTGCGAGAAGGTTTGGTCAGAGAAAGAGATCTCATCAGCTTTCAATGCACATCGCGAGACAACCGCTTGAGGGTCTGTTTCGAGAATGATCCTGAACAATATAAGCTCACATTCAAAACAAGTACAAAAGCGAATCTGCAACGAAAAGAAAAAAAACAATTTTAAAGCAAGTCTGTTGCTAGTAGGTTCTATGTAGCAGATAACAAAACTTGCAATTTTATCACGAAGTACTACCTTAACGTTAAATTAGAGTTCCGGTCACTGGTAATAAATGTAAAAAGGTCTTCAGGACAAGTATGAATCCCCAAGCACTTTTGCCTATTGCTCACTAATTTGGATACCCAAAACTTTACTTACGCGCAGAGTTCAAATGTAGAATAAAACGAAAAGAAAAAGCTGCACTTTGCCACGTAACATAGGAAGAGACTGACGCAGGACTATGACTAGCAAAAGGAGGACTGATGCATGAGTACGAAATTGGTTATTGTATGTAGATAAAAACGTTTGATGAAGATGCTGGTCACAAAACGAAAGAAAAGTTCACTTAAATCAGGACATAGAAGTAATTCAGAATAAGGAAAAAGCCATGATAGATACGCCGAAAAGCAAACTGTCATTAAGTTAAATCGCGAAGCATCACTGACGAAAGAAAACATTCGGAGAACTTACCCTTCATCACATATTTCGTCAATAATCAGTATGCAGGTGTCCATGGCATCGATCAGTGCCTTTTTCTCAACATTCTTCCGAAGGACAGTAGAAATGGCATCAAAAAGGCAGTTCAATAATGATTCAAGGACCAATTCGTTCTCGCGACTGCTGCCCAAGACGTACATGTACAAATCAACGTTTGATCGATAGATACAGGTCACACCATCAAGAAGAATAATTTCGGCTAAAAAGGAGAACATCGGAAAGCGAAAAAAGCAAGGATCATAGAATGAACGGTTATGATAG